TATCAGAACACGACGCCGACGAGGTACTAATATCGGAAGGACAGATAACAGACTTCCACCTCGAGAAAAACGGCTGCTAAGAAAAATTGATTCATTACGTACGGACATTGGTCAAATCACGGAATATGTTCAAGGAACAACAAGTGGAAAAGTAATCAGAAGAACTGAAGAAATCATGCTAATCACCGCAAGACACTTACAATATGATCCAGAAAGCAACACAACACAACAGTGCCTGGATATATTAAATCAAAAACCATCCATTTAATGGGGCCGACTAAGGAGATACAAAATCAGTAACAAACGGAAATCCGACAATATGCTTTTTGAGAATGCCGAGAAGGCGTTCTATCGGAAACTCAATTCAACTACAGAAAGTGAAAATAAATCGTACACAATCCAAGAAGAAATTAATGAGCCTTGGAGAAATCAACTTTCCAATGCTGGATGGATCAAAGATACGACACACAACTGCCAGCACTATCTGACTATGCCTAATATGAGTTACTGCTCCCTACGAATCCTTAACTGCTGAAGAAGTTGCAAATATTATCAAAGACTTTATAACTGGAAATCTCCTGGACCAGATGCCGTTCAAAACTCTGGCTTAAGTGCAGTAGAAATAACGATATTACCGCGGTATTTAGGAGGACGAGGACACTTATGGACATGCGAATGCGAGGTGCAGGTGGAGACATCTAATCTTCATTGCGCGATGTGTCCAGTAGGTTACAAAACACTGATCAAACTGAGGGAACAAGAACAACACAACCCCAACAGTGCCTGGATATATTAAAACAAAAACTCTCCGTTTATTCAGGACGGCTAAGGAGGGACAAAGTCAGTAACAGCCGGATATGCAACAATGCGTTTTTTGCGTATACCGAGAAGGCGTTCTATCGGAAAGTTAATTCCACTGTAGAAAGTGCCAATAAATCATACTCAAGCCAAGAAGAAATTCAAGAGTTTTGGGGAAATTAACTTTCCACACCAGCTGCTCTTAATACCAATGCTAGATGGATAGAAGATACAACGCACAACTGTCAACAATACCGTATTACTTCTCTATAAACCCTTCACCACAGAAGAGTTCTCCAATATCCTCGAAGAGGTTCATAACTGGAAATCTCCTGGATCAGAGGGAATTCAAAACTTCTGGCGTAAAACGTTCTGAAGTGCTCACGAGTACTTATCAACACTAATTAATTATGTTATTTCTAATCTGCAGCAAATACCATCATTCCTAACTCAAGGAACAACTTATTTAATACCTAAGGATCAAAATAATACCAAAGATCCAGCCAAGTACCGCCTAATTACGTGTCTTCCAACTTTGTATAAATTGGTCATATCCTGTGTAGTAGAGCGTATCTACCAACACTGCGCTCTAAACAATATCATTGAACCTTAATAAAAAGGATGTGCTTAGGGTTCCATGGGCTGCAACGAACAACTTAATTGACTCAGTTATTTCTAACCAGGCATACACCAAAACAAGGAACCTCTTCACTGTCTTTATCGACTAAAAGAAAGCCCTTGACTCGGTGTCGCATAAATGGCTTTAAATATATTACGAATATATAACGTCGATGCTAACGTAGTGTATTTATATATAATAAACCTTTTTAAGACATATAACGACAGACTGAAAGACGAAAATTCCCCTCCAAATACCTGGTGACAACAATATCGAAACGGAAAATATCGCAAATAACCGCGGCCTTTTCCAATGAGACTGGTTGAGTAAATTGAGGTTCTGTCTAGCGATGAACCCACTATCTCAGCTATTGAACTCTACCGACTCTGGATGATTTGAAACTAATGGCTTCCACTCGAAACCACTTAGATCATATGCTAAAAACTGTAGAAACATTCTCTAATGATATTAGTATCCGGCTAGAAAAGTACCAGAAGTTTTGAATATAGCCAGAGGAAAGGTTCAGCCCGGAGGATTCGATATGCAAAATGACATGTTCAAATATTTAGGAGTAAAGCAGCCATATTGGAAAGCAAAAATTCACCTCCAAATACCTGGTAAAAAACAATATCGAAATTGAAAGTACTGCAATCAACCGGAGCCTATTCCAAGGAGTATCGTTGAGTCCACTGTGGTTTTGTCTAGCTATGAACCCATTATCCAGCTAGTGAACTCAACTGACACAGGTTTTAGCAACAAAAACAACACTAGTGTTGTGGCAAAGCTTAATAATTTATTGTATATGGATGATTTAAAACTATTGACTTCCATTCAAACACTCCTGAATCAGATGCTAAAAATAGTCGAAAATTTCTCTAATGATCTTAGTATGCACTTCGGTCTTGTCAAATGCCATGTCTTAAATATAATCAAAAGAAAGGGTCAGCCCAGCGGATTCGATAGGCAAAATGGCCAGAACATCAAGGCCCTGGGTGAAAATGATATGTATAAATACCTTGGAATAAAGCAAAGATTACTAATTTAACTTATTTTCAGATGCAGGCTGTGACATCTACTCTACAATCGCGATTTGTGCAGTAGATGACACAACAAAGATCAAACTGAGGGAATCAGATGGGTAGACCACTGCACGGGCGACATCCCAATGTCAGTCAAGAATATGTCGACAACACTATGATTTTGATATTGTAGGTATCTTGGATGAGTGAATTTTACCCTTAGAGGGAGTGTGAGCCGAATAGCTAAATCTGGGATAATTGTTATTATAATCAAATAACAAATATATCAAATGAAGTTGTTAAAAAACTAAATATTTAAAATAGTAAGTAGAGTAGAATAGAGTTTAAACAATAGTAAACACTTTAATATTGTTAATCAGTTATCACTGCACTGTGTCTATAGGAAGCGGACATATTGTACTACTCTCTTGGTAAGAACCTTTGTAGTACGAAGAGTAACCACTATGGTTACACCATCTAGACCAGGATGAAGATAATGAACCCGCCAACCGATTTAACGGGTGCCGTCCGTTATCCTTTATAAGGACTAAATCTCTATGCTGAATGTTTTATACATGTATCTTCCATTTTTGTCGGCCGTGCAGTTCGGATATACATTAAAAAGATTATCGCCGCCAAAAAATGCTGACGAATCTGCTGGAGTCTTTGAAATTGATGAAGATTCCTGAGATTGATTTCTGTAAGGTCAACTTCTGGAATTAATTCCGTTGAGCGTCCAATCAAGAAGTGGGCAGGTATGATTGGGGTAAGATAGGAAGAATCAGAGGACATAGGAGTCAAAGGGCGACAGTTTAAGATACCTTCTATCTGAACACGAACTATTGCTTATTCTGTTAATAAGATATTTTTATTACACTTACCAAAGTATCTCTTAAGTAGTTAAGATCTTTTTCAGAACTTAATTCTGGTAATCCCGTCGAAATCATCATTGCAAATAGTGATATAAAAAGGTTTCCATGCTTTCGCAACACCATGAATGCCTTAAATGTAAAAACAAAGATAATCATTGGCTTTAACTTCAAATATAAGTTTACCTTCTCGCAACACTCCTGAAAAATTTTAAATTCCAATGACTTAGCGTTTTGTCCTTTGTTGATCACATACACGAAATCGTGGGTTAAGACAAATGGTACTCTCTCTCTTTTAAAACCAAATTTTTCTTTGAAATGTCCCAAAATGTGACCAAAATCAATATGAAATAACTGAAAATGAAAATACATTTTATATATCTTATAAATTCTGATATCCAACTTATTAAAAAATAGCCTCGAAAAACGCTAAAATTGGCATTCTTCGGCTATTTTACATCACAGTGCCAGAATTGTAAAAAGTGACTCATATTTCAATTCATTATTCCTTGTAGACCTTTGGGGGATTGAGGGGAAAAGAAATCGACGAATCAAAGGCTTTGATTAAGAAAATAATCAGGATTTTAGAACGAATTGATTGTCCTAAAAATTATTTTATTTTATACATGCCTCAGATGAAGAAAACTAATCTTTGTTAAATATATTTTTTATCCGTTTAAATTAATAAACTTATGACTGATTTGATTAAATTTAATTCCTATTGTCAAATGAAATTTAATGACTTGGAAAAAGGGTAGTCTAGTAACTTTTAACACAGGTAAAACTAAATTACTTAAACAATTCTTGGTACGAAACAGTACTAATAATAAATGGGTCCCTTTAGGTGAATATTTATTTTCATAAAATATAAAAAATATGTTCAAATAAAAACCAACATTATACATAATCTAAGCTGAGCCATTTATGTCATCTTTAGATTCATCAGTAGTATATTCGACTAGATCAATAACTACTGGTTTCATGGTAATTTCAATGAAGTTATCAAGGCTTCACATATTCTCTCGCTCTTCTTTCATTAGACACTCGATACATTTTATCCATGACTGTAAGGTCGCATTGCTGAAGGCATTATTAAGCAGATTATATATATATATATATATATATATATATATATATATATATATATATATATATTTACTCTATCGCTACTGAAGTGAACAGTGACAAGTGTAGTAGTGTCTGAGGGCTTGGGAGACTGAGACCTCGGAAGCCCTGAGAAAGACATCAGAGAGGATGTCGAAAGCTCGACCCAATGGATATCGACGCGGTTCAACCCGGAAGACTGGTGAGTTTAATATTAATATTTGTAATATTATTAATCTCAGCTCTAGGTTTCATTGTACTAACCGCGGAAATCTTTACGAACATATATATATATATATATATATATATATATATATATATATATATATATATATAATTTCAAAGACTTTAAATATCACAATAATATATATATAATATAAAGTTTTATTTTGAGGATGCAGTCATTTAAGTAGGGCAGAATAAGTAAAACTTGTGAATTTAATAATTTAATGGTTTAACCTCATGTTGTAAGTTTTTATATAGTTTTATACAATGTTTTTCTTAATTCTAATTTCATTGTATTTACCATAACATATTTTAGCATATCCTGATGAAGCAAATAATTTTGCGAAAGCTTGATTTAAGAACAAAGAGTTTTACTTATCCTGCCCTACTTAAATGACTGCATCCTCAAAATAAAACTTTATTTTACATAACGTGTCAGTCAATAATACCTAACTACTTTATATATATATATATATATATATATATATATATATATATATATATATATATATATATATATATATATATATATATATATATATACAATACTCCAATATTTGGGTGTGCAGCGGAAGATGGGACAAAGAAGTACTCTTTTTAGTTAACCAAGCTTTCGCAAATCTTTATTTGCATCATCAGGGTGCTACAATAAACAGAATTAGTATAAATTACAGAGTAAGACTTACTTTGCCTCTTACACTAATTGAGGTTAGTTGTCTTGATGTTTATTAAATGAAACTGGCAACTCATTTGACGCCTACAACTATGGCGAAAACTATCCAAAAATTGATTTAAAACGTTCTTTAACATACATAAAACACTTAGAACACACATACATAAACATTTAAATAAAATTATGTTAAAATAGTTACTAAACATGTACGTAGTCACAATATAAAATTTTGGTTATAAATATTCTTATCAGAAACAAAAGAATTGCTTGTGAATTCGTTGCTACTAACTTAAAACGACAGAACGTTAGATCTTAAATGATAACGATGTAAAGGTGATAGTATACCTGATAGAAGCTGAACTTATTGAAAGAGAAAAGATGAAAAGACTTATTTTAGAAATAGGAGAGATATTGTATATCTCATATATAATTAAACTTATATTGTTGACGATGAATTGTCTGTATTAGTAGATTCATGTTTATCTAAAGTTAACAATAATGAATATAAGTTGCTTAAATTCTTGATATCTGTCTTTTTATTATTGGTTTCTTTTTCTTGAAAAATGAAAGCCATCTCGAGAAATAATCTTTTTGAATAATTGCTCTCCGTGGATAAGATTTTTACATTTGAAAAATCGAAAGAGTGTCCTGTTGTGTTAACATGTGTGGCTAGGGAACATCTATCTTAACTATTGAAATAAACATTAATCATAAACTAATAAAATCATTAGAGAATAAATTAAATACCCTTAAGGCAAATATAATTAGTAGTACTAGTGAATATATTTGTAATAGTTTCATTCAGAAACAAATGAAACAATATAATTTTTCTTTTCACATGATAAAAAATAGTAATATTAATAAATTCAACAATTTAAAATCTACTATGTTGAACAACCAACTTATTACTAAGGATTCTTGGATAAAAAATATCTCCCAAGTTGAAATTCCATCAAACGTTATGAAATTTCTCTCGTTAGGTCCTAAGTTTAGCATTGAACTACGGTTAGGTATTGAGTCTCCTATTAAACCACTTTTATCTGATATCGATTTTATATCATCATTTATTCCGTATCCTGAATGTAGAAATATTGCAATTGCTAGATCGATTAACATAATCACTAATAACTTGTTTAAACGTAGGAGTTCCCCTTCTCCCCTACAAAGTCTCTTGAAGAAACTAAACGCTTCCTCAAATCTCACCCTGAGTTAGTAGTGACTCAATCTGACAAAGGTAATGTTACTGTAGTAATGTTGAAAGATGATTACTTTAAACTTTCTCAAGAGATTCTTGATCAGGATTCATCCTACATAACCCTCCCTAGTGATCCAACTAGCAATATCCAAAATAAATCAAATGCCCTAATTAAACGCCTTTGGCAACAGAAACAAATTGCAAAAACACTAAAAAGAGACTCTCATCCTATAAAAGTGTTGTTGCAAAATTCTACACCCTCCCTAAAATCCATAAACCCACCTTAACTATGAGACCTATAGTTTCCTCCATAGGCTCACCAACTGAACATATTGCAGGCTTTCTCACCAATATATTGACTAAAGCCTATGATTCAAATAATGATTACTACATCAAAGATTCTTTCCAAGTTGTTGAGTTATTCATCAAAACTGTCTTACCAAGTAATTATGTTCTCGTCAGTCTAGATGTGGTCTCCCTCTTCAGTAATGTTTACTTAAATGCCGTTCTCCGATCTATTCATAAACACTGGAATAAAATTTCGCAAGTGTGTAACATTAATTCTATCTATCTAATTAGCCTTCTTCGGTCCATCTTTGGACATAGGCCTCCCCAATCCTTTTCCATTCTTCTCTGTCTGTCGCAACAGTCATCCATCTAGAGCCCACGTGCTTCTTGATATCATCTGCCCATCTCATTTGGGGCCTTCCTCTGCTTCGTTTATATTCCCACGGTCTCCAACTTATAAGAATTTTGTTCCATCGGTCTTCTTTTTGTCTTATATTGTGTCCGGCAAATCTCCATTTCAATTTTGCAACTTCTTGTCTAACATCCCTCACTTTTGTTTTCTCTCTTATCCACTCGTTTCTCTTCTTATCCTTTAGTCTTATGTGCAACATTTGTCTTTCCATTGCTCTTTGGGTTTTTATGATTTTGTCCATGTTTGCTTTTGTAAATGTCCACGTTTGGGAGCCATACGTAAGAACAGGGAGTACGCATTGATTATATACTTTGGTCTTAAGATGCTGTGGATATCTTTTGTTTTTAAGAATGTAGCTTAGTTTGCCGAATGCCGCCCATGCCAGTCTAACTCGTCTCTTGATCTCTGCTGTTTGGTTCTCTTTGTTAAGTTTTATAGTTTGACCAAGATATATATAATCCTTAACTTGTTCTATTTCATCTTGTCCGATTCTCATTGTGATGTCTTCATCTGTATTTGTTATAGTTTTGGTCTTGCTGTAATTCATATTAAGGCCTATCTTTCCAGCTTCTACGTCCAGTTCTTTCATTATTTCAAATAATTCATCTTTTTTATCGGTTATCAATACGATGTCATCAGCGTACCTTAGATGGTTCAAGCGTTGTCCACAAATTTTTATACCTTTTTTTTCCCATTCTAATCTTTTAAAAGTATCTTCAAGAGCCTGATTGAAAAGTTTCGGTGATATTGTATCACCCTGTCTCACGCCTCTACTTATTTGTAATGATTTTGTTCCTTCATATACTTTAATTTTTGTTTTGGCTTCCTTATATATATTGGTTATTAGTTCCGTATATCTGTGGTCAATTCGGGGAACTGGTAACATCAACAACAGGGAACTGTGTAACATCATTACAATTGATTGGTATAGAAAAAAGTGTAACTCTGGAAGATATCTCAACTACCACTCTTACCATAAGTCAAGCATGAAAATTAATCTAGTAAAACAAATGACCACAAGAGTTTGTAAACTAGCTGACCCTATTTTTAGAAAGAAGAATCTCAACATCCTTTTACAGTTGTTGCTAGATAATTCTTACCCCGAATCCTTACTTAGGAAAATCATCTTTAACACATCCTCTGTTATACTCAACACACAAGTAAACCCTTCCCAAAATACAGGTGATATGAAAATTACCTCTGTTTCCCACTCACTGACTAACAATATTCCTAATATATCTTTTGCACCACTTCCATTTATTAAGGACGTCACTCCCAAATTGACCAGAATTTTTGCTCAATACCTACCAAATGTAAAAATTTCTTATAAAAGCACTCTAGTTGTGGGATCTCTGTACAAGTCATTGAAAGATAAAGTACCAAACTTAGATAAAAGTGATGTGGTCTACAAACTTAATTGTTTAGGCTGTGAAGGTTCTTATATAGGTCACACCTCC